ATTCCCGTAAACACTCAAACACAAAACATCAACAACAAGTAGCTAGGGAGTTCGCCCTATTCTCTCTCTACTCTCTCATAAAAACCTAGCTGCCGTAAATCTCAGATCTCGTTCGAGGCCGGTTCGAAGACGACTTTGGTTTTGTCTTGGCCGGGTTCTTTCATTAATCGTGTTCCCGTCATGGTCCTAGGTTCGGAGGCGAACCGGAATCGGCTCCATTCTCTGTCTATCACAGAGGCTCCTCTCTGGTTGGAGGTGGCCACGATCTCTGCTTTGTTGAAGACTGGTGGTCTTTTAAGGATAGGTTCACCTCTTCGACTAGTCGTTTTCTTGTTGCTCCCTTTAGTTGTTGATTGTGCTCATGGTTTAGGTTTAGTCTTCCTTCGGCGTGGCTTGTGTGGTGATGAGGTCATCGAACCAGCAGTTGAACCAAAGATCCAACAAGGTGACATCTCAAACTGATTAGAAGCCAGCAAGGACATAGGTTCCTTACAAAGAGCCTACAAGACGAACCAGAAGGATTTAAAAGACGAAACCACCATTTCCAGAAACATAACTCATCATAGAATCATCTCGAACTTGATTCATCCCAATATGAGCTCGTATAAAGGAGATACGGCATTTTCAAGTTGGGCGTTGCCAAACATACTTGAGTTGGACATATGCGCATTCATTGGAGGATTGCGATTAAACCAAAGGGAATCAAGCTACGAAACGACTTATTCTGAATTCTTGAGCCATCAGAGAACCATGAATAATTGGATTCATGATAAGATCGGTTTTGGTTTGGAAGATATTCAATTTCTAAACTAAAGCATTCTGGACTTTCCTTATTTGGAACCCTTCCGAGTTTGGGAGATTGCAAACGTATCTTTGGAGACCAGGAGACCTTCTACATCAACTAGAAGCTCTACAAGATGTCATTAGTTCTATCAAAATGCAGAGGATCGATTGGAGCTGAACATAGAGTGACTTACCTTATCTAGACCTAAGCGCATTCAATATGATCACACTTGGTGTTATAAATCTCCAACGGCTATATCTTCACTTCTGCAGAAATCTGAGCACATATTTAGGGAATCAAGACGTCCCAAGACATCATATATTCACGCCCAAGCTCTCAAGACTCAAGGAACATGATAACTTACCTTATTTGGCCAGATTTCACATTAAAAGCCCAACGGCTAGTTTTTCTTTTAATTCTATGATTTTGTTTCTTAGTTTAGGCTACTAGAAAGTTGGGAAAGAGTCCTATATAAGCTCAGCTCGAATCATTGTAAAAAGACACCCTTGATCAAATTAAAGTAATAGAAATCGTTTTCTGTTTCACAAAGTTCTAGTTTTCTTTGTGTTGTTTGTTCTTTAGTTCTTAAGTGTGTGATTCACTTAGTTCTATTGAAAACCAGTGAATTAAGCTTGTTGAGTGATTCAACATCCTTCATTTGTGCACTGATTGAGCGAGTCAATCCCTATCCTTCACCTCCACATCGAGTACAATCCACCTTCCGCGAGATTAAGTTTGGAATCTCTTGATCATTGATGGGGTTTTGGTAGAGTTTATGCGCGTAATTTTCTTGTATTTATTATAGAGCTAGTGTAGCCATCATCAGAGATGGGGTTTTGGTAGAGTTTATGCGCGTAATTTTCTTGTATTTATTATAGAGCTAGTGTAGTCATAACAAATTTACCTTAGCTTGCTGATGTGTTTCGTAAGTGGGTGTTGTGGTCATCATGTTTTGGTACTTACCGGCACCCGGGTCTTCGTTGAGCTCATGCTACCGAATGAACGTGCTTCTTTTAGCGTCATCGACACTTCATTGTTCTCTCTTGTTACTTCTACTTTAATGGCTTCCACAATGTTTTCTCGCACGGCGGTTCTAGGATGTTTATCAATACTTCCTCGTGATTGCTCTTCGGAGAGTCGTGAATGTGTATTGATTGTTCTTTTGTTTCCATGTTTTTAATTTTTTTTTGTCATGGGATCAAAACCATAGGCGTAGCAATTTATTTATTAAACACTTTGTAACCCTAAACTTTCATTTTTATTAATGATATTTACAATTTAGC